TGCACACAAAGAACCATTGGTACCTCTAGTGACTCTGCTTAGCATACAAACCAGAGTAGCTCAATGCCTCTATATATTCTGCTCGGTTGTTTACTCTGTGTGTGTGTGTGTGTGTGTGTGTACACCGTTTAATTTGCATTCCCTTAACACAGACCAAAGGGATGAAAAGTTCAACACAAGAAAAAAAATCGTTGAAAATGAGCATTTCCCATGGGTATGAATCATGTAGTCACATGGTGGATAGAAATAGTCATCGTTGCCAGGTCCTGTAAGGCCACACTCTGAGATCTTGCTAGCCCGTTGTACGGAGGTCCGTGGCCCACTCAATGCCTGATGGGTGTGAGTGCTGGCGCCTGTGAGCTCATGGAATGCTGGTTGTAAGTTTTTGCCAGGTATTGTGAGTTGCCTGTTAGACACAGCCTTTATTTTGTTGTTGTCAGTGGCCTTCAAGTGGATTCTGACTGGTAGCAACCCAGGGTGTGAAAGTAAAACTGCTCCTGAAGGCGCTCAAGTGTGTGACATTTAAGAAGCAGCTCTCCTGTGGAACGAAGCACCTCTGGTGCAGTCAGTCTGGGAACCTCACCATGTTCCCGTAGTCCTGAGTATTTGACTCTATTTTATTGCTGTCTAGAGCCCTGGTGATGTAGTGGTTCTGCATTGGGCTGTGATCTGCATGGTCAACAGTTCAAAACCACCAGCAGCTCCAAGGAGAAAGCTTGGGCTTTCTCCTCCTATAAGCAGTGACAGTCTCGGAAACCCACAGGGGTGGCTGTGAGCCAGCGTTGGCTCGATGGCAGAGAGTCTGGGGTTTGAGTTTCCTGCTCTCTGTGTCCGTAAGATTTTTTTCATTGATTGGATCTCTCAGAAGGGGACCCTGTGCCCTGCTGTGCATTCCTTCCTTATCAAACCCCCAAACCACAAACCAGGTCTTGATTGACCATTTTACTGATGATCTAGAGTCTTAACAGAGTGATGGTGACAATGGTTGAAAGTTGACAGTCTGTCGTGTCTGTAGCTGTGACCCCTACATTGAGGAGGCATTCTCTGCTTCCAGTGCTCAAACCCGTGAGGAAATTCCACAGTCACCTACATCCCTGCCTAGTGAAGGACATTCTCACAGAAGCCTTCAGCTGTTTTTCACCTTGACACCCTCAATGTCCACCATTCCACCCACGTTAGTGTCAGAATATACCCACTGGTAACGTGTCACCAGAGGTGGCTGTGGTGTTGATAAGATGTAAATGAAAATCCACCAGGGTGTCCTATGAGGCTCCAATAGCCGTGTGAAATTTAATCTTTGTAGATTATGTGCTACATGTCCTTTATAGCAGTAAAATGTATAATTGTATGTGTGTGTGTGTGTGATATGTGGGTTGTTAAATACCACACAGCTAAAATCACACAGTTAGTCTATGAACAGCTTGGATTTCAGCCCAGCTATGTCTATCATTAAAGTCTTACCCTCCAAGCTTTTTTTTCCGAATCACATTTTGGAGAACTTCAGATGATGGAGAGTTGGGCCCAAGGTTTAACCTTCCATCTCTTCCTCTGCTAGCCACTGCAACATAGACTGTGGCATGAGGTATCTAAGCCCCACCCCAGTATTGACGTCACTTCACCAATCTCATCCTGGTTCCTCCTCCCTGATGGGGCCTCAATGAGCCCTGGTGGCACAGTGGTGACGCTTGGCTGCTGACCAAAAGATCGCCATTCAAACGCACCAGTGCCTTGCAGGAGATGTGGCAATGAAGATTGATTGCAACCTAGAAAACGGGATGGGGCCATTCTACTCTGTCGTATCGGGCTCCATGGCTAGGCCTTGACTGGAAGGTGCCCAACACAACCACCACAACCTAAACCTCACAGGGCTCTTCCAAGGTCGTGGTGGTGCGTGGCAGATGCCTTGTGTCCTGGTTACATGGCAGGAGCGATTCCTGGGGGCATTTTTTCCAATGCAAATGCTGTGTAGTGTGGGCATCTTTGTGTTTCCTCCATTTGTGTCTATTCCCACCTGGGAACTCCCCCCACAGACTAAGCTCCTGAGACACAAGCCAAGCACAGTCCATCTATTGAAAGGGATCCAGTTGGGTCGTCTTCTTTTAAAGAAGGCGCTGGTGATGACCGATGCGACTGGTTCATTCATGGCAAAGGGGGCTTATTGATTTCTCTCCCGTTCTCCCTACCACTATTCCACATTTCCACAGATGGGAAGGAAGACGCCATGCTCCCCTCTTCTGGGTCTGGCTGGTTCCCTTAGCTGACTGTCTGTGCGATCCCCCTGTCGGTGTCCCATAGAGAAACCCAAAGAGCTCAGGGAGGCATCCCCCACGCTTGACACAAGAACGTGAGTTGTGTTCCACTGTCAGCAGGACACAGAAGCGTCCTAGGGGTTAGGAAGCGCCCAGCATGGCAGTCTTGAGCTTTTCCAGAATTGCCAGAAGATGGCCTCCTGGGATAAACACACCACACGTAGAAGGGAAACTCCGGGCCGCAGGCAGGGTCGGACCGCTTGGAAGTGACTCCAGCGGTGGTGGAAGAATGCGCAGTGGTAGGCCCAAGGGAACGGAAGGAGCCCACTTTTGATGCTACCTGACTTGGATGAGTTTGGGGCAGAAGAAATTGTGTGTGTATCTAGTTTTTCATGTGATTTCCGCAGGTATGATTGTGCCTCTTTGTTAGTTGGGGAGAGCCTCGTTCAAGGAGATTTTCCCAGTATTTATGTAGGCATCCCTTTATTGTCCTCCTACGGGCTGTTGTTGTAGGAAATGGGCGAGAAAGGTATTTAGGCAATTAATGTAGATGGGGCTGTGCGCCCAGGCGAGCCGAGTCACACAGACCCATTTCAAGCTGTTGGCAAAGAATTATTTGCATTTTAAGAGGTATGTTTTTCCACCCAATAAACCCGCGTGATTTCAGTTAACTTTCCCTTTGTGCGTGGAGACGCAGGGTCTTCCACAGTTGTTCATTCTCATTCTGACCCACCTTCACGTTGGCCAGGCTCCAGCCCAACCTATCATTCCCCAGGAGCCACACCGCCTGTCATCCAGCTGCCTCTCCCCAAGTCTACCCCTAAGGAGATTGACCCAGCCCTGGGAGTTCTTTGGGGGTTAATCTACGCCCCCTGTGGGGCCGGCTCTGGGTTCCTAATGGCTCTGTGTGTGGCAGGCTCTTTATTACACTCCACAACTCAGCACACACATGCGCTTCCATTAGAGCTACATGTCCTGTGCACAACCACAGGCTCATGGCCAGGGGTGGTGGTGGAGGGGGCTTCCTGCATCCCAGTGAGATGTTTCCACACCAGCACTTGTGGGGTGGGGGTGGGGTGACTCCCACGCGTGGTAGGTTCCTAACAGTCATCCCTGTGTGTGGAAACGACACCTAAAGAGGGCCTTCAGCCCTGCTTCTTACTGGGCTTGGTGTTCAGAGACGTCAAGGAAGAACTGGGCTCCGCATGCTTCCAGAGATCCCAATGCTTCTCCCCAGCATGCCTGACCCTCGCTGCCCTTGGTAATCCAACCACTACCCACACTGACCCCCACCTCTCCTTTTAGTTCTTGTCGGGCGTGGATGCCTGGTGCAAGATGTGCAGCGAAGGTGGCCTGCCGTCCGAGATGCAGGACCTGGAGCTGGCGATCCACCACCACCAAACCTTGTATGAGCAAGTGACCCAGGCCTACACGGAGGTGAGACCCCAGAGGGCAGGCAGCCAGGTGTCCCAGCAGCGGTGGGAGGTGGGAAGTCATCTGGGCTGCTGAGCTAAGGAGAAGGGAGGACGTTCTTCCTTTAGAGCTGTCTTTCCTGTCCTGAGCTAGCCAGGCAGCCGAAAAAATCATGGCATCACCTTGGTGTATGCGCACATGTGTGCACCTCCATGGAGGTGAAGGTTTAGACAAGCGATTCTCAACCTGTGGGTCGAGACCCCTTTGGGGGTCGAACGACCCTTTCACAGGGGTTGCCTAAGACCATCGGAAAGCACATCCTTCTGATGGTCTTAGGAACCGAGACACCACTCCTCTATCCGTCTCCAGGCCGGTCCGTCCACATGCAGATACTCCCACATATGAGTACCCGGCCTGAAGACTGTTACCCATGCTACACCATGCTTCAAGACAAAAGTTAATTTATTTGTCATTAGAAATAAATATTTCACAATATATAATTACATATAGTTTTGTGATTCATCACTGTGCTTTAATGATGTTCCATTTTTAACAATGAAAATACATCCTGTATATCAGACAATTCATAACAGTAGCAAAATGATAGTTATGAAATAACAAGGAACATAATTTTATGGTTGGGGGTCACCACAACATGATGAACTGTATGAAAGGGTGGTGGGATTAGGAAGGTTGAGAACCACTGGTTTAGACACTCCCCTGGGGGGAGGGCTTTTTTTAAGAGCACAGGTGTACTCCTCTAGAGATTGCTTTCTGGATGGTGAGTAGGGGTGTACCCACCAGCCCCGGGACCCCTTTTATGAGGCGGCCCATCAAAAAGTTATAATTTTTGCAGTAGATGGACTGAAGGGCACCCATGGGTGGAGATACGTGCCTGCAGCAGTGAGTGAGAAAGTGCCATGGCTGCGGAGGGACCTGAGAGACTCCTGAGAGAGTCAGAGCCAGGAGCGTGGAGAGGGTAGGGACAAATCAAGAAGGGGGGAAATGTCTTGATATTTCTTTAACGGAATAGGCCACCTAGGTGCATCTTCTCGGACGACACACACACTCACACACACACACACACACACACACACACTCACGGTTCACTAACTGGGTGTGGATTCTGAGGGGTGCGAGCAGGAGGAGGGCTGTAATACCGGTGGGCTGGTTAAGGGAGCCACTTTGCGCAGGGTCGGAGGGACGGAGGGAATGCCAGTCTGCAGGTTTCCTCTGAGCACGGTCAATCAGGGCTGTGTTTCTCAAAACAGTCTCCTGGAGCACCTGCCCCAGACTCACCTGTGGTGAGCTTGCTCCAGAGCCCCACCCCTGACTGACTCAGAATATCACACAGGAAGGTCTGAAACCTGCATTTTACCTTGCTCCTAGTTGACTTTGATGCACACAGCAGTCCAAGTGTCTAAGAATCAGTGGCTTCGAGGTAAGCAGTGGGGTTTTGCCTCAATCCAAGCTGAGTTTGGATCCTAGTTCTTCTCACTCGCAGTGTGGCCTCCGGCAAGGTACTTGACCATCCCAGCCCCTCCCCCCCACCCCCAGCCGCAGGGCTTCTCTTCAGTGAAGTGAAAGCGAGAGCATCGGCCTCAGAGAGTGGTTTACAGCGTTGTAAAGACACTGCACGAAATCCACTTGGCTGCAGTGTGGGCTGTCCTGCTCCGAAGCCTGGAGGAGGACTTGCAGCTGCGTCTGATCTCACCACCACAGATCCCACTGGTCCGAGGGCTTCTCTCTCAGACCACAACTTTCCATTTACCCAAGCATGAGTCAGGAACCTCTACTCCACTCCATGCGAAACAGGAAGAAATAGACGCATTGCATCTCATCATGGGGTGTCAGTATGAACAGTGTTTCTCCCCAGTCCCAGTCCCTACCCGTGTGGGGCCAGCACACGGTGCTTCGCCAGCTATAGACGTGGAAACGGAGGCAGAAGACTGGAACTCATGTTGACAGGATTTCTAAAATGTGGCCCTCCATTCCCGATCACCCTGCCCTGGACATAGCATGGGGCCAAAAGACAGTCCTTTCTCAAATCCCCTGTGTTCCCCTGGGTTTCGGCAGGGGACGCTTGTTTTATAAAAGCCTCTGCCACCCCTACCCCCCATCCTGTGGCAATAAATAAATCACTTGAGTAGGAGGCAGTGGGCACCTAAACTGGTCATGCTCCTCCAGCCAGGTTTCCCCTCCTGCCTCAGTCTACCCAGCTCTCCTCTTCACCGCCACCCAGCCTTGCCAAAGCTTTGCTGCCCCCCCGCCCCCATCCAAGCAGGAAGACTAACAGTTGAGTCTGTGCCCTTGAACCACTCCCCAACAGAGCGGTGCTCAGGAGGCACAGGAATGGGGAAGGGAGCGTGCAAGCCAGACACACAGAGCAGCGCCCCTTCGTGGTCCTAAGGGTGGAGGTGGAGGCCTACTCCCCTCCCCAATTCTCTGGTAGGGAAAGAAGACTGTCTCAACTCTAACATAACTTGGATTTCATTGTCAAGCAGAGTAATGCGGGGTCTTAAGCAGTCCATTGTCTCCCTAGGGATGTATCCCTCCTGGACACTCTTAGAAAAACACTAGGGCCACTGGAGTGGATTATGCAATGCCAAGCTCCCAAATTATTGGTGCTGGTACTTGTGCCAGGGACCCAATGAGTGGAAGGCTAAGGAGGACCACCCGCACTGCCCCCAGCACAGTGGATGCTGGAGAACCCAGAGCATGGGGGATGTGCCCCCAGTGAGCAGCCCTCCCTTCCTCTGCATATTCAAGAAGGATGGGGAATGTTGCTGCTCTTTGGTAGAAAGAAGAGGGGTCTAGAGAGGAGGTTTGAAAAGGAGGGAGGAGGTTTGTTCTGGACCTGGACCCTTCATCTGACCCGAAGGTTTGGGGACTTGAGACAGAATCCTGCCATTATTCTCGTGTCTCTGGAAGTTGTCAGTCTCAACATCCTTGGAGAAGAAGTCTGCCATCCTACCTCCCATCTCGCAAAAATAAATAAATAAAAGGAGGGAGGAGATAAGGAAGACAGAAAGTGGCAAGAAAATAAAGAAGGCAGAGGAATAAATGATGATGAAGATATCACCATGTGCCTCTTCTAAGCACTACATGTGTGTTTAAGGATCCCGGAGGGTTCTCCATGGGAGAAAGAGGAGGCCGTCAGTTGGATCAAGCTGTACAGTCTTGGAAAGAGCTGCTACGCGGCCGAATCGACTGGCAGTGGGTTATGCTTGTACAGGCTCACTGAATCCTGACTGCTGCCCTGCGGCCTGTACCGTGATTGCCTTCATTTTACAGAAGGGAAACTGAAGCCCAAAGACGCTAAGTAACGTGTCTCTGGCCACGCACCTAGAAGTTTGGAACCCGGTGGCAGAAAGTGAAGAGAAAGGAGGGAGAGTGGTTTAAGGTGGGGTTATTCTGAATGTCGTTCCTGAGAAATAAAGTGCTCCTGCCTGGTCCAGTCAGCGAGTCATTTATCAAGCTCGTACGATGTGCCTTGGAACTATAGGTTAAACGTTGGACTGCCAACTGCAAGTTCAAACCCACTCACCCGCTCCACAGGAGAAAGACGAGGCAGTTTGATTCTGCAAAGACTTGTAGTCTAGGGAACACTATGAGGCCATTGTACTCCACCGCGGGGGGTTGCCAGGAGTTGGCACAGACTCACAGGCAGTCAGTACTGTGTGCCAGGCACTGTGCGAGGCGTTGGTGAGAGAGAGGTGGAGAAGTCCCCACTCTGCCCTATAAACAACCCCGTGGGCAATGTGATTAGTGTACCTTCACTGAAGGGTTTAATCTGTACAAGTGAACAATTCATGGACTGCAGTTCAGTGCTGCTCTGTGCTTGTATAACTCCCCTTTCTCAACAGTGTGTTAAATTCCGTACTATTGGATAAATTAATGACGCTATCACTAGAATTACCTTATGCCCCAGGGAGATAATGGATAATGTTCTATGTCATAAAATGATAATGAGGCCGCTAAAGTGAACCAGAGAGGTATGTAAACCATCAGGAGCTGAAAAGATTTTAGCACTTAATTCTAGCCCCAACCTAAGAACAATTAGTTCTTACAATATGCTCAATACTCGATGCTTGACTTCATTAAGAGATCACTGAAGATACGGCTGCTACAGCAAAGTATGTTGAAGAAAACAGGTGGTGCCCGGCTATCAGAAAGAGTAGCATCTCGGTCTTAAAGGCCTGTCTTCAAATAAGCAGCCACCTTAGTAAGGCTTCAACTCAATTCACAAGGAAGAAGCACACCACCCTGTGTGATCCAAGGACGATAAATAACAAAATCCAAATCCAAATGAGGGAATGGTGTCAGAGCTTACATTGTGAACCCTCGATTTACAAAAGGCTATGCGTGACAATGGCAGCCCCAAATCCATTTGCAGGGTCCCTACACAGATTACGCCTCCGGTGGACCCCTCCACTGACCACAGTTGAGGATGGGACAGCCTTGCTGTCAGACAGAGAATACCGTGAACTCGATTCTGGCAGTTGTAATGACGTTGAAATGTAACACCGGATCATTTGATCTCCCTTTTGACTTACTTTAGAATTTATTCTTGTTTTTAAGAAGATAAAAGTCCCTGTTCATGAAGCCAAAGTTCATGACAGCAGAGACAGGGATGGGAGAGCCCCGCAGGCAGTGAGTGGGCGCTCCCGCAGCTCCTTCCTTGCACACCTAGGGGCAGACGGACTGCATCCTTTCTGAGCCCAGGTCCTGGCTCTCGGGGATGCTTGCCCTCTCCTGGGCTGTGAGCTAGCCACCTAAGCAGCTCTGGTGGGTTGGCATGCCCTGGGGACCAGGGGTATGGGGGCGCCCGCAGTCACCTAGGGCTGATGCATCCCCTGGTCCCTCTGCGCCCTGCCTGGCCCAGTCCTGGAACAGGCCTCCTCTTCTTCCTGCAGGTCAGCCAGGACGGCAAAGCCCTGCTGGATGTGCTGCAGCGCCCCCTGAGCCCTGGGAACTCCGAGTCCCTCACAGCCACGGCCAACTACTCCAAGGCGGTGCACCAGGTGCTGGACGTGGTGCACGAGGTGCTGCACCACCAGCGGCGGCTCGAGAGCATCTGGCAGCACCGCAAGGTGCGGCTCCACCAGCGGCTGCAGCTCTGTGTCTTCCAGCAGGATGTCCAGCAGGTAAGGGCTCTGTTTCCCCTCTGCCTACCCAGCACCCGCCTGCCTTGGTGGGGTGGGTGGGGGGTGAGTTCTAGGCCCTGAGCTAGGTGATCATCGGACTGGGGAAGCCTGGAGCTATGGCAGGAAGGAGGGTAATTCAGCCCCCAGCACCCTCCCCAGCAAAATGAAAACATCCGGCCAGACTGGTTCAGGCTCCCTTCTCCACCACCAGCCCCCTCCCTGCAAGCAGCGTTAGACCCTGGGCCTTCTTGCCAAAAGGTGACTCGAAGGCGTGGCAATGCCTTGCTGTCAGGTGAATCACTGTTCTTTGGCCTGGAGAGCTGAGCCCTGGCTGAGACAGTGGAGTCTGACCCCCACACACACATCGAACGCTGGGGAGGCAGGGGCTTGCCAGGGTCAGGTGGGAAGTTCAGAGCCTTATGGCAGTTGTCCTTGGGAGATGAGACTAGAAACAGGGGCTCCAGTTCACAGTGTGTCCTGTCCTGGAGGTGACCTTGGGCTTCATCTCTCTTTTTGCTTTCTTATCCCCGCCGTAGCTTTGCCCGCCACTGTGAACAACGCAGAAATGGCTACGTCTCTGACCCCAAAGGGACAGCTTGCCATGAACACTCTTTCAGATGCAGTAGCCCATCTCCCCGCCTACCCATGTACGTCTGTGCATGTGTCTCCTAGAGACGCACCCGTTCAAACACCCTCCACATCACAGGACTTCAGGGCTCATCCTATACAGCAGCATTGCCCTCACTCTGAGTGCACTGCTGGAAACAGTAGTGGAGCAGGATTGGAGGGGGAGGGGGAGGAGCGCCCTCGCCTCACCTCCCCCCACCCCCCCACTGACTGGGTAGGCATCCTGGTGCCTCTGCAGGCTCATTCCCTCCCCTGGCTGCCCTGAGACTGTTGACTGGGGTGGGGATTGAGTCCTCAGAGGCAACACCTTAGCCTCAGGACAGGCTGCTCCTGGGTTTGTGTTGGTCCCCACTTGCTCACTCCCTCACTGGCTTGCTCAGAGGCTGTGGGGGCCTGCTGGGAGAGGAGGGGCAAAGAGTCCGCTGCCTCCTCCGGCCATCTGGAGCCTTCCAGATGAATCTATCACCCGTGAGCCCTGGAGTGCCCTGGAGCCCGTCTGTGACTTGAGACAGAGCGAAGGGCCAGCTGCCGTCGAAGGCATAGAAGAGGGCCGGTGCCAGCTCTGTGACCCCTCCGTGACTCCAGGAGGTGGGAGAGCACAGATCGCTGGGCGTCCTTTGAGGCCCTGCTGTCTCCCTGCCTGTTGCTACTCCTCATCAGTGCTGACCAGGAAGGGCTGGTGGCCCAGGCGTCAAGCATGGGGCTGCTGTTGCTAACCAGAGAGGCACATCCTTAGAGCCCACCAGGTGCTCCCAGGGGGCACGGCCTTAGAAAACACATGGGGCTTCTTCCCCTGTCTTGAAGGGCTGTGGATGAGCATCCACTAGATGACAGTGGGTTTGCGCTGGTGCTTCTAATTAGTGCTGTCTGTTTGCCTGGCATCGAGGGGTGTGGAGGAACTGCCCAGAGCTGTGAAAGGCTTTTTTCCACGTGGGGAGCTCAAGGTCCCAACTGGATGATCTGGGAACTGCCATTATCTGGCTCTCCTGCACCCACCAACACATCTGCATCATGCCAAGCACACATGGAATCAAACAGCCGCAGCCGTCTGCAGCCTGTTCTAAAGAGGAGAGCTTTCTGAAGTTGAGACGCTGTCAGTTGGTCTTTCCTGTCAGAATCACATTGTTGGTCGAGCAAAAAGCAAGCGGGTGATCATAGGGTGTGTAGGGCTGGGGGCTGGTGATTCCATGGGAATGGAGTTTTCCGAGGTGCCTTCTTCTGGGGACAGCTTCCGTTTACTCTGCTTGCTCGCTCGCTCGCTCACTCACTCACTCACTCACGCACTCACTCACTCAGTCCGTATTGGACTAACTCATAGAAAAATACAGAAAAATAAGTGCCGCCTAACCTAGGGAGTGCCTTAATTACACACTTGCCACCCAAACAGCCATTGGTACCTGACAGGCATCCGAGTTGGTGCTTTGGAAAGGGGGCCAGCTTAATACACACAGGGACCGGCGAGAGGCTCAGTCTTTGATCTCCTGGTTCCTAGCTGTACACCTGTCCCAGCTGCAGGACCAGACTGGATAGGTAGTTCCCTGGCCATACTGTTCCCACAGCCATCCATGCATCCATCCATCCTTCCATCCATCCATCTCAATAGTAGCACTTTCACTTTGGAACTAACATTATAGTTGTGGGGTCTTGTTATTGTTATTGTTTTTACATGTCTCTGTTCCAATATCTCATTGAGAATAGCAGCTGTGCCTCCCATATAGCTCTAAGCTGTGTTGGCGTGAAGCTGGATTCTCTTCATATTTGCTGATGTGAGCTGCAGTTCTCTTTGTGGGGAGGAACCCTGGTGGCCTGGGGGTTACTCATTAGGCTGCTAACTGCAAGGTTAGCAGTTTGAAACCACAAGCTACTCTGCTGGAGAAAGACGGAGCTTTCTACTCCCGGAAAGAATTTCCGTCTCTCTGGAGATTCCCAGGGGCCTTTCCACCCTGTCCTACAGAGTCCTAGTAAGTCCGCAGTGACTCATGGCAGTCCGTTTGGTTTTTGTTTGTTTGTTTATTTACCTTTGGGGGGTTCCTGGTTTCTGCTTCTGTGAAGTGAATGCCATATAATCCTTCCTCCCAGCCTGTTAAGGAGTTTCTGGTGAGTATTAAGAATCTGCCCCGTGGGAACTGTGGCCCTGGTGGGAGGCTTGGAGTGAGGGTCCGCAGCTCATGCAATGTAAAAATCGCAGGTTAGCGCCTGAGCACGCTTCAGTCAGACAGCCTGAGTTTAATTCCTGCTCTGACATGTCTTGGTTGTATGCCCTCAGGCAAGTCACTTGACCTTCAGTTTCTTCACTTTTAAAACCAGGGTGATGATAATAGTTACTATCTCATAAGACCAAATGACCTGCCTGGCACACAGTACATCCTATCAGGAGTAGCTGGGTTGTTGTGTGGTACTCGGGCGCCCCCTGGTGCTTGTGTCATTGGGGACTATGTTAGACGGGGTTCTCTAGAGAAACAAATCCAGGGCACTACTGACTTTATATATATTAATATAGATAGATAGATATAACATAGAAGTAAACAGTTAATCTGAAAAGCAGTACAAATGGCTCAGTGAAACTCACTTCAAGTCTGGAGGGCTGCTGGGTAGTCCTCTGTAGAGCAATTCAGGCTATCTGACCACAGACAGCCAACCAGCAGTCAGCCAGAAGACAGGGTCCAACAGTCTCCAGCTCAAACGATGTATAATCCGGTAGCGTGGCGGAGCTGGTCTTGAAGGAACCTCAAACTACAGCGACACAGTCCATGGATTAGGTGTCCCTCAGGTAGTGTACTTTGCAATTTGAGGCAGAGAACAAGCTAAGGCAGCCGCACACTGGTCCGATGATCAAAGAGCAAGCCTCGCTGAGCCATTTATCTCTCTGCCCTTCAATTAATCCCACATGTGTTCATTGGCCAGGTTGTCACAATAAACCGACCTATCACAGGGGACTCCCAACATGATTCTCTTGTATCTACCAACCGGAAGGCTTTGTTCCGTTTTATTCAGCGATAGCTGTGAGGTTGCTTGCTTTTTGCAAGGACAGCCATTCAAATACACCAACTACTCCCCAGGAGAGAGAGGAGGCTACAGTTTCAGACACACACAGGGGCACGTCTCCTCTGGCCTATAGGCCCCTGGGAATCAGAATTGACTCAGTGGCAGTGTGTTGGAGGTGTTTTGTTTTAGATAATCCCTCAGAGCCATCACAGGGCTGAAAGGGCTCCCCGTCTAGTCGACTGTATTGTTGTTGTTAGGTGCCATCGAGTCGGTCCCTGCACACAGCGACCCTGTGCACAACAGAACGGAACGCTGCTCCACCCTGAGCCTTCCTCGCGATTGTTCCTGTCCGTGGCCCTTTGTTGCAGCCAGTGTGCCCGTCCGTCTCGCCGAGGGCCTTCTTCATTCTCACTGCCCCTCCACTTTCCAAGTGTGATGTCCTTCTCCAGGGACTGGTCTCTCCTGACCACATGCCCAAAGTATGTAAGATGAAGTCTTAGCATCCTTGCTGCTAAGGAGCGCTCTGGCCATACTTCTTCCGAGACAGATCGGTTTGTCCTTTTAATTGTACTTTCAGTATTCTTCTCCGGCGCCACAAATCAAATGCATCAGTGACCTCTTTGGTCTTCAGTATTCAATATCCAATTTTCATCTACATATAAGGCAATGGAAAATACCATGGCTTAGCTCAGGTATGGCACCTTAGTCCTTGAAGTAACCTCTCTGCTTTTCAATACTCGAGCGAGGTTTTGTGCAGCAGCTTTGGCCAGTGCGATGGGTTATTCCATCTCTTGACTGCTGCTTCCAAGCACGATGAAATCTTTGACAATTGCAATCATTTTTCAATTGATGATGATGTTACCTGTTGGTCCTATTGTGAGGATTTGGGTCTTCTTTACATTGAGTTGTAATCCATCTGAGGGCTGCAGTCCCTGATCGTCATCAGCAGGTGTGTCCAGTCGTCCTCGCTTCCTGCATGCAAGGTTGTGTCATCTGCATACCAACCTTCCTCCAATCCTGATGCCACAGTCTATGTCGTGTAATCCAGCCTCTCTGATGATTTGCTCAGCATACAGGTTGAACACATGTAGTGAGAGGACACAACTGTGAGGCACAAGGGGCATACTGATTCTAACCCATACAGGATGTCCTTGTTCTATTTGCACACCTGCCTCTTGATGTACAAGTTATGCATTAGCACAATGAAGTGACCCTGCTGGCATTTGAAATGCCAGTGACGTCACTTCCAGCACCACAGCCACACACAAGCCACCGCAGTGCAACAAATGGACAGACCCGTGGTGGTTCGTCTACGATACAGCTGAAGAAATGGAGGTTCAGAGATGTCCAGGAGCTTCGCCATAACCACACAGCCAGTGTAGGGTGGT